CAAAAGATCAGGGTCGCTGTTATTATCATACATGAAAAGTTGAGTTCAGATTGGTTTTGTAAAAAACTCAATAATACCGTCTTCAGTGATTTGTCTTTAGAGAATGTCCTATTTGATTCAGTTGGTAATTAATAATCAAAGCAGCAAAGATCGGATAATGATATGAGACATCACAAGTTATAGAGCCATAAAGTAGATCACATGAAATACTTACACAAATATCCCCTATTAAAGTTGCCTTTCAGACGGGGCAATTATATTATAAGTATATTAGAATAAATTTAACAAAGTTAGATTTCAGATAATTTGTATTCAAACTGCTACAATTAAGGTAAATAAGACAAAAATGTTGTAAATCCAACTTGTCGCTAAGCGCTTCATGAGTTACCTAAAATTCATAATTTTGATACAAAAATAGAATATTGCAAGAAAAATATGACTGTTTTCATTACGTTTTTTTAAAATATAAAGTAGGATACATCTTCTATACCACAACGAGTTTCAACATAACGATGAAACAAAAATAACGATGAAAAAAAAATATATAAGTTTAGTAGAAGAATAAAAGAAAGAGGAACAAACACAAAAGCAAAAATACGTCTAAAAAATACATCTGAAAGAAACCAACAAAATATCTAAATACAGTTAAAGTCCAGGTAGGTGAAATCAAATAAATGACTGACAGGTGAGAAAAAAAACCAGGAACCATAGATTATAATAATTCAGGTTATGTGTTATAGTTCGTTGTATATTATAAATTGTACTTTGTAAAGTTAGAGTTATCTTCTCATCTAGATTTAGGCAAGTTCTTCAAGCCACCTTCATTCGAGATGAATTTTGACAAATTCTTCCGATTTGATGCTTCGATGAGTGCAATGACTTTACCATCTATTGCCCCTGCCTTTTCAGCAGCTTCACACCAGTAAGTCTCGAAAGATCTAGTTTTCTTTTGATAAGATCCTCCATAATGCTCATTTCAGGGTCTTTTAGGAGTTTTTTGTTGCTCATAAGTGCTCGAATGCTAGTGTGTATGTGTGTAATTGGGTTTTTGCAGACGTGTATCAATCAGATATAATTAGTTACGTCTGGGGACCGACCTTTAACGTCACTATCTGAAAGACGTGACTCAGTTTCGAACCTGCGTCCTCGACTGAATCAGTATGTAACTTCCATTGTTGGCTGGATTACAAGCACACGCAACAACGCCCCGTGCTTGTCGAGACCTGTATCTTTGAAACCTCACCAAGATGAGGCGTGCATGATTTTTTTAAAATTACTGTTCGGAGGCTGATTCGTTGGCTTCTGTCGATGATTTTGTCTAGCCTGTAGAAGTGTCTCCTCTTGAGATGGTAGAGGTTTACCTATTCGATGAGACCTGTCAATCTCTTTTCGAAACAGGGATATACCTATATGCTTTGTCACAAACAGAGTTAATTGGTCTGTATTCTCTCATTTCCTTTTTTGACACGAAATATATATTGTGTCTGCTTTTCGATGGCGTACAATATTCTACCCTGATTACTTGTAATGAGAATTGGGAGAATCGAATCGCCTAAACTAATCACCTGATTTATGTGTACAGTTTTTGCACCTTGTTTGATATCATTTCCGAAATCAACGTCTGGATAATCATATAAAATGTCAACATGGTGATCAACTAAATCCGTCAAAGGATGTTTTTTCTTCAAATTATAAATGAATCTCGTGTTAATATCAGAATCATAGATTGCTATAGAAGAAATGTATCTTTTTTCTGTACCTGGATATTGCTTAAAATGTCCCTGCACTTTTGGTCTTTCATTGTAGATTTCAGAGTATTGGCAGGCATCGTGAAGATGAAGGTATGCATTCCTTATTTCTTACATTTTTGGTTTTGGCAAGTAAAGAAATGGATCAGTAATTGAATCATTTTTACATGTTCGTTTTATACAATGTTAATGAAACGACGATAAAACAAATAATAATGTAATGTAAAACATTGTCTTCTACGCAGTATTATTTATTCTTATTGTAAAATGTCCAATAATACTAGTAGTGTACCAACAATTATTTACAGAAGTAGAGCATTCCAAGCAAGCAGTTTTGGAATGGATGAAATCTGGAGAAGGAATAAAGACGGCGGATTTCAGACCACAAGAGTACACCGCAAAACTTACAGATGATGAGGGACAGAAAACAGATTCCGTTCACCATATGTCTCCACCGAGCACCCGCCAGGATGAAACCCCAGTTGAAAATATTGAAAGCAGGGAAGATTCGGGTGAGGATACTGTCATGATTCGGCTTGAAAAGCATGGTATTGAAGTAAGAATTCCACTAAATGAAGTTTACAGAGCAAAGGATGTCACTTTCGAACCAATCCATGACATTCCAACCAAGGAAGAAAATAACACAGGTTTTAAACGTACCTTATAGATTTTCTTTTTACACTCTACCACATGAAGTAATATTGTTTTGGTTTTGTCAAAAAAGTTTGAAATTCCTTAATAATTACTGATAAGAGGTTAATATACAAGACCGTCTTTATTAATTTTAAGTATTATAATACATCTTCGTTAACAGGTTTTGGCATGCAAGTATATGATGATTTCAGATTATTATTGTGGTAAACAATATTTACTAGAATAAAACCAACCGAAAAATAAAAACATGTTTGTACTCCATTTAATCTGTCACCGGCGGACATTAAAAAAAGTCTTGAAATGGTGAGGGCATAGAAAATAACCAATGCGTCATAGTAAAATGTTTATAATTTACTTAAGAATGTAGAGGTGATATAACTTCCTAACATTCGATTGCTATTGGTTATCTTCTGGATTAAAAAAAAATTGAAATGTTCCTGGTAATTTAACGGGGATTAAGTAAATGTAATAGATAAATGAGATAGTAATTAAATGAGATAGAAATGGGAAATTTGTTTTGTTTTCTTTTTGTCTATTATATCTAAACTAAATGGTATGGACATTTTCTTTCAACGCCAAATGTTATTCAAAGAAGTTTTTTTTTCCTCGTCACACCGATTGAATTTTAAACAAAGCTCCTTGTTACAGAATGCCAACTCTTTGTCATGGGCGTACATTGTGAGTTTCATGGGCAGACATTAACTTGGAGAAAAAAAACCCTGTTAATGTCCGATTTCAGATAAAGACATAACTGCTGTGGGTCTTGTGCTTTTTGGTTTAATCTATATTTTTCTCATTATTTACACAAAATATTAGTTGAGAAAGCCATTTTTTAAAGTTAATCAGTACAATCTGTTAATCATTTGGATGCATGAACAGCACGGACAAAATGATAAATCGCCAGAAAATAAACAAACATAATTCTGGTCTTTCAGCTTTCTAGCTAAGTGGAGATGTAAGGATTTTGCTTACATTAATTATTACAATTCTATTAGATTCAAACTTTGACTCACCAACATTAATTTGAATCGTTAGCAGATTAATTTTTTTTTAAAGTAACAATATAAGGTAACAAGATTTACTCATTGAAACATGATTATTTGTGTGATGGAATCTCAATGAAATTTACAATGCAACACGATTTTACAACCAACAACACGATCATAATGAATGAATTTTCAACATTTCCTACTCTTACAATCAGGAATAACCGAGACATCACTAGGAGACGCAGTTTTCACATCATCGAGACTGTCGCAATCTACATCAGTCGACATTCCTTTTCAAGATGCGCCAGCAGCAGCCCGTGAAGTTTCTACTTCTACAGAAAGGTTAGAATTCCTTCCTAATCGACAATGGCTATACACTTTCTAAACATTTGTCTTAAGTCTAAGAAGAATGTCTTTAATGTGTCTAGTTTAAGAAAGTTACCTTGGTCATAAACTCTTTGTGCTTAGCTTTAATAAGTGACAGATTAAACAACATATTTAAACCCGATGACGTAATGTTGGAAAGCTATATTGGTAGAGTCGAGTCAAGCCAATTTGCCTATGCTGATGGAAATCAATTGGCCACTTTTTCTAGCATCAAGGCACATTTTAAAATAGGTTATTAAAACTCCTTTACTGACCAAGCCTTTTAAAAAAAAGGCCCCGTGATTCTGGCTATTTTCCACCCAAGTCAGCGGCTGAGATGAATCTAGAGACCCAAAGTGAACTCGCGATCGAGTGGCGGTAGCCGCGAGGCCTTTTGCAATCTAGATTTTACTGCTCTGCATGAATTATTCATGACTTTGGATTTGTTGACCAATCAGAATTGCCATCTCTCAGTTGATTTCTTTCGTAATTCGTTCATTATCAAAACATGTAAGAAAAGGTAAAATACGTAAACCAGTTTTGCTTGTGAGATGAACATATGAATGATTAATACAAAATATCACATCCATAACTCTTTTACATGCAAAATTAACTAAAATAGGAAGCATTTGATGACTTGAGCTAGCAATTGTAAGTGAGATAATCGGACTTTCCCTGTCTATAAAATGAACCAGTCAAACTCGTTTTCGTTCCGTACGTCATTCTTAGTAGGTCCATGGGCTATATGTTCCTACTACGGACGTAAAGTTTACTGCGTGTGTGTGTGTGATGGATACTTATATGCTGACGTAATGCGATGATACGTTCGGTGATTAGACGCTACCATTTTGGTAGAGAATTCCAGTCGGAAACAAGGGTTAACATAAGAAATCCAAATCAGATTACTAAAGGCTTCTTGGCTGGGCCACTCGCTCTGCCGTTCAATCGGGTTTTCGCGATTAGTCTCTTTTTAGTCGCTCGGCGTCTATCAGACATGCAGCCTTGTCTAAAGGCTATTACTGACCATGACCAAACGTGACCCCAATGGTCAGTTTGGGCCAAAAATGTTGTTAAAACGACTGTTTCGACGCAAACTGAAAAAAGCCACACAATTGGGATTAAAGCACATTATCTCCTAGGGTTAATGGCTTCCTATTTACAAAAGGTCGGGTATAGTGAGTGCAACTAATCACCTGAATAATACTCAATTTTTCCATAAATTTTGGTCTTTCGCTTTAGAGTTCTGTGTATTGACGAGCAACATAAAGATGAAGGTAAGTGTTCCTTTTATATCTTTAATATTATCATTTAATTTTGTGTGGCTAGTAAAGAAATGAATCATCTTTCTAATATAATATAATACATGTAATGTAAAGTATGCTATTAATACATATATTTGCTGTTATCAGATCGAAGCTCTGCAACTGGAAATTTTGGAGCTCTTGGAGGAAAGCTGCCTTCCAAATCCCATGGGTTAACACTCCACATTCCACCCGGTGCCCTTCAGGAAGATGAGAACATCAGCCTTCGAGTACTGACCGAGATTCCAAATGGCCTCACACTGAAAGACGACGAGATTCTTGTTAGCCATGGGTTCCAGTGTTACCCATCTGGGTTACGCTTCAAGAAACCAGTAAAGCTGATAATACCTCACTGTGCAATAGTCACTGCTCCTAACAGAGTACAGACCATATTGTATTCCTGGAATCAGTCAGGTAACGAAATCAAGTTTTCAGTCTTTCCGTTTGTATAAACATTTTCCTGGCTATTATGTGTTTTGAACAAAGATCATAGTGTTTGTGAACTGGCGCATAATCTACTGGATTTACCTCACATTAACTTAGGTCTGAAACCTGATCCCTAATGGAATGAAGAATGGCTTATTTTGTGTTTTAAGAGCTGTCTATTTTTTTTAATTTTCTTTCTTAAGGGATGGGGTGGGGGCACTCACCTCTGCAAATAGAGGTCATCATTGGCACTGCAGACTCTACACCATTTAACATGTTTAATATAGGGATATATATAACTCATCAAACCCCAACACTTGCGGACTCTGATAAACATTGTTATAACTTTTAGTACAAGCATTACAAACAAAAGATCAATTCCCATTTTTAAATTTTCAGATTGCGATATCGGCTACGTACATGCTCTGACCAAAAAATTAGCAAATTCACAAAAATATCTACAATACCAGTGAGGAACTCATTAGACAAGTACGTCGATTTACGTTAAGAATGGTCCTCAAAAACGCTCATAATTGTTGGTACCCTTTCGTGACCTCATATTTACTAAGTTTCATAATTTCATGACATATGGAATAGGGGATTATTCGCTCTAACGTTTAATTATGGATTTCTGTCCCTCTTATTTTTGTCAACGCAAAAGTTACAAAACACAGCCCGAAAAATGGCGATGTTGCCAAAATAAAGCATTATGTTAGGAGCGTGAAGCGTTGACATTAATTATCATGGATTATGAATGATGAATACACATCTACACGTATTCTGATGTTTGCATTCCCAATTTTAAACGGCTTCTGTGTTTTAGGGGCTCTTTGCATACACATTTTCGAATTTAAATGCAATACATTTCAAGAAAAATTGTCACAGACAATTTCACAGTGGGTATTTTGGTATAAGGATATAGTAATCATGGTCATCACAAAAAAAAAATATCCTCCATTAAAGATACTATGTCCCTTTTGCAGCCAACATCAAATACTGTAGAACTTTCCAGGAATTATGAATATGTCATGTAAATGTCCTATCTGTGAAATTTAAACGTTAGCAGTGTCCTAATATTCAAATTATGCAAGGAAACCCGTTTACTTGCTAGACTTCGCTGTCGGACACTATTAAGTGACTGACTGGCTTTTTTTTCTTCTTTGGTAATAACATACATAAAATGAGCTGTAAAGGGTACATGAGCATTTGTCTACATCAATTACCCACTTCTTGTAATGGCCAAAATTTAACTGAATGAATCTTTGCGCAGCATAAAACGCACGACCATTCGGTATAATGGTCTGAAAATCAGACTTTTACTTCCTGGCTCTATAGCTCTTAAGTAGATTCGACAGCTATTAGTCGTTATTTTTCCATTTAAAGACATTTTCAAGCCCCCCCCTTTTTTTTGTTTAAAGGGAAGTTCTAAATTAGTATTATCTGTCAAATGCCGTTGGAATTTAACCTTTGCATTCTCTTGGTCTACAAACGGGACAAAGTACCTTTAAAGAGAAGGTTGAGTTCTGGTAAGAGTTGACAAATAATTAGTGAGCGTTATCATTCTTATCATGCAAGTGTGGAAGAACATCAGATAAGACATGTTCCCTGAAAAGCATGGCTCTTCAAATGCCTTCATATTCTAAATATGTCATGTAACATCATAAAGATCCGGGTAGGATTTTTACGCCACGTGTTCGTGTAGTCCCATATACATCTTTCCGTGTACAGTGTTTGTAACTTTACCAAGACTTGGCCAAATTTCTTATCATTTTGATGATTCCAGAACCTTGCAATACACACAAATTCTTATATGCTAGATGATTAACCTTTCTTGTCGATTCCACACCGTTTATCTTACAATGCAATCGCATGACCAGAACTCAACTTCATCTTTAATAGATCAAGGTCTATACTGTACAGTATATACATACTTTTTCTTACGTTACTCGACAGGAAAATTATTACTAGAAAAATGTTTCATGGTATGTCCATTTTAATTTGTGGAGGAAATAAATATATATTGAATTGATTTGAAAATATATCGATATTCAATCCTCATATTTACCAAAACCATTGTTATTTTGTTATATTTGCAAATAGAGTTTATTTTTATTTTTTTTGTTGTTGTTGAAATTTTGATTTTCGAACTGTATTCCAGTCACAATAATACGATTTATAATAAAGTTAGTTTCATAGCCAAGACAAATACCTGAGATTTCAGTACTTTCCTTTCTTTTTTTATTGAAATGAATTTGTTTGTTTCATTTTAAAGGTACACCTAAACGGCTTCCTCATTCCTCCGACATTATTTGTTCAGTACAAGAACGGTGGCTAGAGGTCTCAATGAGCCATTTTTCTGGAGGATACTTTGCCTTAATTTGGGACTGGCTATTTCTGAAGGGCATATTACTGTCATGCATGTCGTTTCTACCAAGAGTCTTGCCTTCTCCTAGAAAACCTGTTCTTGAGGTTCGTTTTGTCAAGATGCCTCATGACCAAAAATGGGTAAACAGACATTTTATTGTTCGTTAGTGGTATATTGGCATAGTTAAGCTTTGTTACTTCGAGAAGACACTCTTCGTTTACCATGAGGTCGACGCTGGGGATGTTTTATTCTCCCATTCAACATTTTCCGTCGCAAATTAACAATTTTCGAGCCTTGTTTGTAACTAAAAAATCTATCTGTGGCCATATATCATTGCATGTTAAGACAAAACTTTTAAATCATTCAGCACCCTTTTATTCTTTCTTCAAATAACTCTAAATTTCTTTTTTTTAAACTCGTTTAATCTTGCTTGTCATGTCTGTAAATTTTCAATGGACATTGTTTAGTCAACAATTTGTCTGCTGTCTTGAATTTTTGACTATGCCCTGACCCGTGCAACCTCAACTTATTTCTAATGTCAATTCCTGCGTGGCATGGACTTTAGTTCAAATAGCACCCCGAGAGAAGGCGTATGATACACAACATTTGTTATCAACCTGATCATTTTTCAGATAAATTTATTAGAATTCTGTTTGGATATATGATTTTCCAGCAAGACGTCCATGCATTAAAGAAGTCCGGATCTCAACCAGTGAAGGACGATGACGATATTGTTGTGTTTTGTAGGAGCACACTAACAGTCTCTTGCCAGCTTGGTGCGAATAGTCCCGAGACAGATGTAAGTGTGTCTAGCCGACGGGTCTCGGTATTGCCATTCTTAGTTTAAATAACTAGAAACTAGTGCCAGTTGTAAATATGACCAAATTCAGTTTTATTTTTAACACTCCGTGAAACCAATTATATTTTTCTTCATCCATATCATTACTAAAAATATATTTTGGATTTAAGTATCTACAACAACTGGTCCTTAAAACGATATATACCTTTAATAACAGGTTCTTTCATTATTTTTGTGTTGCAAAATATAAAAGCAAGAAATGTAATACAAATTCCTGGACAAATATCAATCCATTGACTGTTTTTAAAAGGATAAATAAAAGTGTGCACTTTTTCCCCATAAGTAATTTTGTTATTATTTTTGTTTTTTCTAGTGTCAAACTGAAATGTCTTATTTGTGTGAAATTAAATATTCACTTTATGCCCTGACTAACTGTCATTTGTAATATTCCGTAAAGCGCATTTAAACATGATTATTAAAACTGCGATATATAAAATTATAATATTTACCATTATCATTATCCATGACTTTAATTTGTAATGTTGCTCTTTTGTGTTTTGAAGGCAGGGAGTCATCATTTAAAGGTGGATCAAAAGGGGAATATGCGAAACAAAGCGACAAAGAAATTAACTGAATGATTATGACGGTGATAATGAGTATTCGAGAACCCTCTTTAAACAAAGAAGATTTCTATGTGGACATACATGTACAGAAAACAAGTGTCGGGAAGACATTAAAAGACAAAGCGTAGCACATATCCATACAGCAAACATACGAGTGACAAATTTGAATTATGTTTTCACGAAATTCATTGCAAAATTACGAAATCGATTAATGCAACTGTACGTTGACGGCCGGGAATAAGGAAATTGAATTTGCTTTGACGAAATATATTAGATGCAAAATTATTAAATAGATTTGAAAAAAAGTTCGAGAAGACGAAAAAAAAATTTCCCTTCTCATTATCTCCATCAGTGCTCTTTTCATGTGCCTTTTGGCATGAAATTCATGGCATGAAATTCTGTTATTTTCTGGCAATTTTCTTAGGCTATTCAGCACAGCAATTTGAGTTTGAAACCGAAAGAGACAGTGTACTTTACACTCGATCTAACCGACGAGAGTGATGAGACATTAGTGACGCTTAACTTGGTTCAAACCACTACGCAGAAGATCAAATTCAACACACGTTTCCAAGGTAAGCAGTTCATGGAGATGCTTAGTTGTTCTAATCATAATTTGATGTATCTCTAGGCATAGTAAAGGCCACTAACCCTTCGTATATTTAATTGTACAAAAGGGATATAAATCAAAATATATCAGATAAACTGAAGATGCAGTATAGTATGGACGAAATGTTTTTGGACTAAACGGGTATTGGCGTATTTTAGGGGTTAGATAAATAATTGATAATACAGACAAAACGGCAAATGCACTAAATAGTGATGGACCAAGTGATTATAGGATAAAATCGTATATATTATTGATTCGAGGAACTGCCAATTAAAACCAAACGATTAGAGATTATAGGCAAAATGGCTATTCGACCTACTGGCTATTCAGATTAAATAAAGATCGGTCGAAACATTGACTAGATCATGTTTATAGCGGATAAACTGGGTTTAAACTAAATGAAGATAGGTGACCAAGTGGCTTGGTCGAATGTGAATGATTTTCTTACGTCATAAGTGCGTTAACATGCGATATTTGTGGTGGTGGTTATTTTACCTGACTGCTAAGAAAGCATACATGCTTGTAAGTAAGCAACCAGACGGCCTACGGATTTAGGTCCTCTCCGAGGGACCTGGTAATGAGGACTAATGCCTTACCAAAGGACACTAGCGCATCGCCTTGGTTTCGAACCCGGGTCACCGGATCACGAGACCACTGCTCTACCGACTGAGCTATCGCGCCTCCTCGAATGTAGACAACCCTCGTTAATAAAACTTAAAGCGTAGGCGAAGGTAGCTCAGGAACAGCTACACGTAGGAAATATGGGGAGGCTCTATCCATTAGACATTAGAACAAATATAGTTTTGTGCATACACGGAAGTTGCTTCTGTAACCAGTAGTGAGGTACATACCAGGGGTCGAACTCTGAGCACGATGTAATCTCTAAAATGTTCTAATTTTATATTTTCTCGGGCGAATGGTAAGTGAACCATTTGTTTCAAAGGATGCAGCTAGTTGTGTGATAAAAAACACAAAAAGGACTGAGTACAGACTACATTTCTCAAGCAACATTATTTGTTATCAAGTTGTATTTCAAGATTCGTGCAAACATATATCATATATACATTGCTGCTTGTGTGACGGGGTTAAAAAGCCTATGAAAATATCTCATTAATACAAAGGAAATCCTAGCAAAACCAATTTTTTTGCTCAGAGGCTCGCCGTATGAAAATAGGAGTTGGCATTCGCTGTCTGTTTCCCAAGAGTGGTTGAACATAACAAGAGTGATGCTAACAACATGTTGTATTGCTTATTGCATCGCAAATGGGAGTGTTTTATATAATCTCTAACCGGTGGTTCTCAGAATACTAATATAAAACGAACTTGAATGTATTTTATCTTGCTGAGATAAAATGCACCTCAAAATACCCTGCTTTTTGAAGAACATATAGATAAATAGGAGATAGAATGAGTGCAGCCCAGCCTTAAACTTTACGTGACGGATATTCGTTTTTTGTAACCTGTTTTAGAAATGTCAACATATGTTTTGTTTCTCATTTTGTCGCCTAATGACATGGCTGCTTTCAGCGTATATCTTTTTAGGGGGAGGTGGAAAAAAAGTATACATCAATTATTATAGACGACACATAATCACGTCATCAAATTTACACATTGTGCATTATTGTTTGAAATATATGTTATGTACATTATACAGTTAACATGACAATTAGAAATCATAATACAAATTGAAATTCCACGTGTCGAGAATTTCAAGAAAAATTGTATATATACCTTTTTATCCATCAGTCATTCTTTTCACTTCATATGTGCGCGCTCGCATTATAGTATCAGGGAACCCCACAGTCACCCAAACAAGTCGTTAAATATTTAAATTTACTCTTATCACAGGAATCGACGACAGGTTTACAGAACAGGACACTCCTACACCATCCACCTTTGAAACGTGAGTAGAGGTTAAACGAGGAGTAGACAGAAAAAAAAGTTACGCTATACCTTGAAATAAATGTAAAGGTAACATTAAATGATCTAAATGATAAGCTAATAAAGTTGGCTTTCCTTTTTTGATACTTCATGCATGGGTGATTGTCAACGAAACGCAGTTAAGTCTTTTGTCAATTCTGCGTTTTGCTACGGCAGGCAGCCAGTCAAAACGAATTTGTTTGCTAAAATTATGAGAATGTAAGGGCTACTTTAAACAAACAGAACTTTGTCATTCCTTGCTCATTTTTCCTGATTGGGTGTCATATGAAAGGGCAGAAACCCAACTTTCTAGAAATGTGATTTTCTCTTTCAAATTCAGATACCGCCCGCCAAACGACTTTTCGGTTTCCTCTCTTCAACTTGATTTTAATCACTCATGCGTGAAATATGCATCATTAAGAGTTGCATTAAAAATGAAAGAAGAGGATCTAAGCCTTCCAAATATGTGTCATTTATTAATTATAATTGTGATTAAGCTATGATAAAACATCGATACTTCTCGGTTTCGTTTTATCTGGGACGCACTGTATAGAGCCTATATATATATATATATATATATTAAACGGTTGTGTGTGCATGTATATGTAAACGTAGTATGCATAAAGTATGCCCATAGATGTACTTCCGATATCCGGTAATATCTAGTGCAGACAAAGAAAACCTACGAATATAAATCTGACGTATGCAATTTATTCATCTGCACGTTTTCCACCAATATAAATTAGTTTATTTAATTAATCTACCCGTATCGTTTGGCAACCGACTTTTTAGCTTTAAATAGTCTCTATCGCTTTTGATAAAATATGATTCAAACCTGTGAAAAAAAGTCAACTTAGATTATTCTATGAAAAGTAACTTTTTATATTTTCTCCCTACGTATATAGAGCTAGCGATAAATCCAGGGAGCATGAATTTGGCGACATTCTCGAGAAAGTAGCTGAGCAGATTTACAAGAATGCTGAGATTAGCAGTCTGGGCAGGGAATTGGGTTTTCAACGTCCGGAAATACAACGTTACATACAAACGAACGAAAAATACCATACCGTCACATACATGGGAACACTTAGTATGCTCCGTGATTGGAGAAACAGGACTACAAGGTCCGAAGAACATGAAAAGTTGAAGAAAGCCCTGATTGTGCTTAAACACCATCGTCTGGTAGACGACCTACTGAACGACAATACGGCAAGCTAGCATGGACTATAGTTAGGAAAATAGAAAAAACCTAAATAGTTACATTTTGGACATATTTCTGGTTTAATTTTGTTCCATGCATGCTTGTTATCACTCGTTATACGTTCATATAAATTATATAAAGAAAATGTCATAATCATGCCCCACAATTTCGCCCATACAAAAAATCTTTATACAATAGAAGAAGTGGCCTTCAAAATGGCACATTCAGAAATGTATCTCGAATGTAAACACAACTATTATTGTTTTCAAATAGCTTTGTTTGTATGTGAGTCCCATTTATGTTCCTTTCTTCTTCTTCTTTTTACAAATGCATACATTTTTGTTAAGTGCCTCGTTAGGTAGGACAAACCTCAACGTTTGTCCTACCTAGCAATAATTAATGTATGCAATTCGCATTCTGACTATAGAAATACAATCATTTGAAAGACATGAATGAAATGATTTGTAACATGACACTTAACAAAGGTTTATGAAATAAAAATTGATTACAATGCAAACATGGAACATTTTAATATGGCTGAATAATGCTCTTTAACCGACTTGTGTTGTGCGTGTGCGAAGTAACCGAGTGTAGATACTTTAAGAGCTACCAAAATAACGAATCATAACAGTGTCAATTTTATACGTGGTGGTTGACATCTTTTATTCCCAACAACTGTCTCGTTTATAACGTAGCTGCGACAAAGAGATGAAACTGTGTTCCTTTTCTTCCTTCCCATTACGAGTACAAATTTAGCCAAGTCATGTTTGAAATGCTACCAAGAGCTTAAAATGCGGCAGAGAAAACTTCCAACGTAATGTGAATAGTGGATTATCTTAGTTTTTATAGAGTTAGAAAATGTAGATTATTGATATTAAAAAAAAAAACTTTCTTTTGAGAGCCTAAACAAAAATTGCATTACCGAAAATGACCATACAGATACGAATATAACATTGGGTATACTAAACTTAAATCAGAGGCTCTGAACTTACCTCTATTCTCATATTACAAATATTATGCTCTAACGCAGTCAGTACCCTGGTTGATAATTGCACATGCTTTCCAAGCAGCCAGGTGAAACAAACCAACAAACCAATCCGGCAAACATGTCAAAAGCGATTTAATTATGCGCTACTGGATGAATCGTAGTCTCTATTACATCCACATTTTAGTTTTTACATTATGATGGAAATGTAAATTTCATATGATATTACATCCACTGAACGGATAAATTGTCCATAAGATCTAAACATTTAATGGTGTGTAGCTTCTGTATATGTCTTGAATATCATGAGTTTAGATTTGCATGCATAATTCTAGAGATTATGATAGTGAAAATGAGTAAGCCATATAATTTATTTTCCACTGCTGATTTAGGACTTTTCTGCAAAGGTTTGTACATTTAAGGCGAAAAAAAATCTTGGTATATAGATTTCATATAATACCATATCTCATTTGTTAGTTCTTTAGAGTCTGTGCATGGGCTTGCACATGTTGAATATTCAGTATATTTAGATCTAGTTAAATCAAATATCTTTGTCCTGAATTTGTTAGATTTGTGTAAATAAGTCTTGAAATAATATTGAATGTTCAATGTATATTTCGTATTATCACACCTCAATTTACTTTTGGTTTTTGTGCATAAATCTGCTCATTTTATTGCTGAAAGTCCATATTATATATATATATACATATATATATATATATTTCATACAATATCGTTAATCACTGTTATGATTGGATTTGCGTGTATAAGTCTGCACGTTGTAAGGGTGCTTGTTGAATGCGCCTATCTGTTAAGGATATATCTTTTGCTGCATAAGTCTGCCAATTATATTGATGAAAGCCCAAAGTATGTATAATTAATATGATTTCATATCTCCTTGATTAAATTGGATTTGCGTGTATAACTCTTGACACTATGCTGGTATATGTCAAATATTTGCAAATTTCATAAAATATCATATCTTTTGAATGGATTTTTGTGCGTAAGTCTGCACATTATAATGGTGGATGCCTAATGTATACAAATTTCGTATAAACTCATATCTCGATGCTTAGTCTGGTTTTGTGTGTATAAGTATAGACGGTTTAATATTCACTGCATTTGTATTTCCTATAATAGTGTATATTCAACTATATCAGTGCATAAGTCTGTACAATACAATGGTGAATATCCAACGCATATATATTTCATGTAATATCATACTGAGAAACGGTTTTTGTTCATAAGTATATTGCACATCAAATTGTGAACGTCTGTGCAAATATATTTCATAAAGTATCATGCTGAGGTTGGATGTTTGTGCATACTTTTGCACATCATATTGGTGTATTTCATATGCATATGTGTATATATACGATATCATACTGAGATTGGATGTTTGTGCATATTAAAGTCTGCACATTCTAATGGTGAATTTCCTTTGCATATGTGTATATATATTGTATACGATTTCATACTGAGATTGGATGTTTGTGCATAAGTCTGCACATTATAATGGTAAATTTCCTTTGCATACGTTTATATATTTCCTACGATATCATACTGAGATTTGATGTTTGTGCATAAGTCTGCACATTATAATGGTGAATTTCCTTTGCATATGTGTATATATTGTATACGATATCATACTGAGATTAGATGTTTGTCCATAAGTCTGCACATTATAATGGTGAATTTCCTTTGCATATGTGTATATATTTTATACGATATCATACTGAGATCGGATGTTTGTGCATAAGTCTGCACATTTATCTATTCTATTTTTCTATTGTATAATTCCACTATGTAAAAACGATGTATATCCGTGTTTCCATATGAATATGTCATTATACATTTGCTACTGTATATTATCTATTTGTGTATATTATTTTTCTATTGTATATTGTTCATGTGCCTATGTAATGCCAATGGTAAATTATAATGGTAAATTTCCTTGGCATACGTTTATATATTTCCTACGATATCATACTGAGATTTGATGTTTGTGCATAAGTCTGCACATTATTACGGTGATTTTGTATGCATACGTGTATATATTTTATACGATATCATACTGAGATTGGATGTTAGTCTGCACATTATAATGGTGAATTTCCTTTGCATATGTGTATATATTTAATACGATATCATACTGAGATTGGATGTTTGTGCATAAGTCTGCACATTATTATGGTGAATTTCCTTTGCATATGAGTATATATTTTATACGATATCATACTGAGATTGGATGTTTGTGCATTAGTCTGCACATTATTATGGTGATTTTGTATGCATACGTGTATATATTGTATACGATATCATACTGTGATTGGATGTTTGTGCATAAGTCTGCACATTATAATGGTGAATTTCCTTTGCATATGTGTATATAATCATACGATATCATACTGAGATTGGATGTTTGTGCATAAGTCTGCACATTATTATGGTGATTTTGTATGCATACGTGTATATATGTTAAACGATATCATACTGAGATTTGATGTTTGTGCATAAGTCAGCACATTACAGTGGTAAATTTCCTTTGCATACGTGTATATATTGTACAGGTGTATACGATATCATACTGAGATTTGATGTTTGTGCATAAGTCTGCACATTATAATAGTGATTTTGTATGCATACGTGTATATATTGTATACGATATCATACTGATAGTTGATATTTGTGCGTAAGTCTGCACATTATTATGGTGATTTTGTATGCATACGTGTATATATTGTATAAGATATCATACTGTGATTGGATGTTTGTGCATAAGTCTGCACATTATAATGGTGAATTTCCTTTGCATACGTGTATATATTGTATACGATATCATACTGAGATTGGATGTTTGTGCATAAGTCTG